GTGGCAGGCAGCGGCGCTAAGTGTGTGCGCGTTTTTAACTCGTTTGACCTTTGGTTTGAGAGTGGGGGCTTATTTCTGCGTATTGAAAAAAATGCAAGACCTGTTGTTACAGTAGAGCTATAAAAAGGAAGTGAGATGGTTGGTGGCGCACTCAAGGCTCTGTGCACAGGGCTGCCTCTTCTCTGGCTTCCTTACTTAGGGGCAGCTTTTTGCAGTGACCTTTTTGAAGGCTGTTGGATTATTTCTGCTGACCCGGGTGGGCCCCAGACGCTTCAGCTTGCGGCCCCCAAGCAGCTGAGCATCGGTATAAGTTTTCAAACAAGACATGATTTCCCCACGCGGGCTGTCCCTGGGGTGGTACTTCCTACTAGGGCTTAAATTCAAGTTCTAAAAAAGAAATGGGTAATAGAAAATGGTTCAAGAAAGCATTAGGACAACAAATGGGCTTATTTGGGACTGTTCCTTTTCTTCCGTGGGGTGCAGTGATAGGAATTACAGATGCCATAGGTGTGCAAATAGCATGACTTCCTCTTCAAAATGAGCAGAGTCGCAGCTTTTCCGCCTTCGTTAGTTACTTCATCTTGTGTTAGCGCTTTCCAGGCACTTCGAAGTTCTACTTTTGGTAAGGCTGATCAACCTGTTGATTCAAACCGAATGGAAACTCAGTGATACAGTCTGTCTCATTTTGTTTTTAAATTAGGTTTAAAATATGTAGTAATAAGCATTCAGCAGAGAGATTTTCGAATTTTTGAAAAAAAACCCACAACACTAATATATGTTTCTATACCTTGTTGAAATCCCTTATGAAAAATAATTATTTTAATGTTACACTGTTTCGGTAGTTAATGTGTTTATATATGTCTATTAACTACTTTTTAAATGTTTCAGAGTGGTGATGCAACTGAGCTCACAGCCAAGCCAAAGAGAAGTTTCTATGCAGCAAGAGATCTATACAAGTACCGACACCAGTATCCGGTAAGATTGTTTTATGGTTTAAAATTGTCTTGTTTGTAGAGGACAGCACACAGCTCCCACAGTTGTAAACCTTTATGTTGATTAATGTGTATGAGAATGACCAGAGTCAAAAAGCCGGGTATCTAGTGGGAGAGAAATGAAGTTAGTGCAACATCTTTTCAGTCTAATTCAGGCAAACACTATGAGTTATAGCAGCCTGGCAGTACTGTCAGGAGCTCAGAAAAAAAAAAACCTTCTGTCTTTATCCCTCCTCTCTGGTATCTCAAACTATTTTTCTTGGGCTGAATCTTTAAGTACCTGAGTAATTCTGAGAGGCTTCAAATTTTCCTAAACTTTTTTGGGTTTATTTTTCTGTATTTTGAAAAAATGGTTCTGAGTAGCCAAGTACCACTCTGCAGCTGATAATATCTTCTTTTCTTTTTTTAGCAGAACTTTAAAGATCTTCGATATCAAAATGACTTGTGTAATCTCCGGTTTTACAAAAATAAAATCCCCTTTAAACCTGATGGTGAGTAATCTATAACAATAATAGTGGTAAGAGAAGAGTGATCACTGATAATAGTATCAGGTGACACTAGTGTGTTAATTAGACTACTAATGAACTATGGGTGTGTAGTAGTATATTGTATCACTTAAATCTTCCATACTGGAATAGAATGTTGACATGCTGATATTGCTGATAACAGGTACCTCTACTCTTAATTTACAGTGGACATACTTCCTTTTATTAACAAAAAAAAAAAATGACAGAGTTGTGCACTACGTTCCACAAGCTCTTGCTGCTTGAAAAGGCAGTAGCAAAGATCAGAGTTTTATTTCTAGTCTTGTGTAAGGAATAATGAATGTGTTACCATTTGTTCACGTGTGAGAAGTTAACAGTCTTATTGCCTCTGTCCCTAGTGATTCTGTTTTTGGACAGGAATCTCATAAGGTAGGTTCAGCACAAACATAAGATGGACTGCAAGATGCAAGCCCCGCTCTAGGGAGTTCGCAGTCAAAGTGTGATAGACAAGAAGACAGCAGACAGATGGGGAAGCAAAACTGAGCCAGCCAAGGAGTGTTGGGTAGAATGATGGACAGGGGTCTCAGCACATGCGAGCTTAACTATTGTCAAGAAAAATTGCAGGCAAAAAATGAGCTTTAGAGATTTTTTGAAAGAATGATGATGAGGTTACTTTGAAGGTGCTTTGCAGAGAGCCTCTCAGCATGAGAGCAGCTTGGGAGGAAATCTGAAAGTGCATATTTCAATATATAAGAAATGACAGTAGGAGACTGCCATTGAGGGCTGGTCAGAGGCAGGAATCTATCCTGTAGCAGCAAAGGGCTGAGATAAGGTAGGAAGGGATGAGCCTTGAAAGGCTTTGAAAGTGAAGGCAGATGGGTTTTGTTTGGTGTTGCAGAAAGGGGTATCACAATAGGAGAATATAAAGGAGAGGCAATATTTTAAAAAATAGCAGTCTAGAAGCAAGATCTTAGCAGCATTTGGGGTAGAGATAAGTGTTGCAGATTTGCATTTCTCAAGGTCAGAAAAAAAAAGATGTTGAGGCAAAATGTCAGAATCCTGACAGAAAGCTGGGTGGGAAAGATAATGTACAGGAGGATGCAGTCATGTAAATATAGCCTGGAAGGTTGAAGATGAAAGCTGTTTATAGACAAGATAGTGATAATATCTGCAGTAACCGAGTAAAAGGAAGTTAGGTTGTATAAAAGAATTTTGTTTCAATCTTCTTCTTGAGGTTTGTCTACATATCTATCAGCAGATTCTGAAGACTGTTGGCTAGAGGAAGAGTTAGATCTGTGAATTACCAACCCACATATCACAGATTCATGAGACATTACAGATGTGTGGAGAAAGAAAAGGGCATTAACAATGAGGTGAACCTGAAAGTGAAAGACAGTGAAGCTTTGAAGAGAATCCTCTAGAGGACAGAATGAAGTAGCAATTCAGGAGGATTATCCAAAAGAGAAGGTAGTCAGGGAAGCTGGAGGAAGGCAAGATTTTTAGGAACGAGTCATGGTCAGTGGGGTCAAAAGTAAAGTAAATGATAGGCTAGTGAAACTGAAGTATTGATGTTTGTGAACTCTGGCTTTGTATAACACTTTTTTGAGAATGGGGAAAAAATAGGCATTGCCTTGACCTAACACTGTGAAATTGTGAAAATGTTCAGGGGGAGTCTAAAGTGAAAATGAAATACTGGGGAATGGTGTTTTTTTTTTTTTTTTTTTTAAGAAAAGTTGACAAAGTTTAATTCCACAACCTACAGATTAGAGCGTGATTCTCGCTTAGAGCTGGCCTGTCTCTCCTCTTGCAATTCAGCTACAACAAGTTGTCTAAAGCTTGAAATAGAATTATTGTGAAAGCTGGACATGTGTGGTAATGGCATGAGGTCCTCTTAGTGGTTTTTCCAGCCTTATTCGCCCTGGAAATCCCCTGCTCTTAGCAGCCCCTTTGGCTACTTTCTTCACTTCCTGATGAAAATAAACAAATGAAGCAACACTCAAAATGAAATCTCTTTTCCTGTTGGAATCCAAGTGGAAATATTTACTGAGGAAGAGAGTAAGACCTCAAATATATAATGGGAGACTGTTTTAGGAATTAAGACAGTGGGGGCTCTGGGATTTTTAGGCCAGCCCTGTGCTGTTTGGTTTTGCGAGAGGCCATGCTGCAGTTAGTTTCAGAGAAGAAATAGGCTAACACTGGGTGTTCACTGATGAAAAGAAAAGGCAGAGTGTGTGGAGCAAGGGATGTTCTTTTGGGTGTATTATGTATTTGTACAGTGCCTAGAAGAGAGGTACTGGTCCAGGACTGAATTGAAGGGCACAGCACAGGACTCGGTACAAAGAATGATTAATTTTCTTTTATGTGCACTTTGTCCTCTTTTTCTTTTGCTCTCTCTTTCCAAGAGGAGCTGACTGAACCCTGCAACTCTCTCTTTTTTTTTTTTAAAAAAAAAAAACTAATGAAAGTTGCAATTCTCATTTCTTTAGCATGAAATGGGGCCCACAAGGTCAAACTTCTGGCAGCGGTGCCAGAACTCTTAGCCAGAACTCTTAATTGCAAAAGATTTGTACATCTTAGTATCAGTTGCAGCTAGAGAGATTCCTGAAATGGAAGATTTTTTACTGTTGAGATTTTATTCTACAAAGCTGATATATATATACTATATATATATATATATATATATATATCTGTATATATGTCATGTTAAAGCAATGGCAGGTTATTTGTGATGCACTATTTTACTGAAGTGGTTTGTCAGTTATCAGTGTGACAAAGAAATCTAGGGCACAAATACTTTTTGGAAAGTATATTTTACAGGGATTGCATACCCTCAGCTGGAAGGTAACTCAGTTATAGCCAGCTGGTTTTGTTTGTGTTAAAGTTTGATAAATCTCCTGCCTTGATATAAGTAGTAGTAGTAACTAAGTTCATTTTAAATTAAAACTGATTTATTTATATTTGTAATAATCCTTATTACAGAATTTGAAGTAGAACTAAAGAATGCATTCTATCATAATGTTAAATGGGTCTTTACTTTTGTGATGAAGTTGAAAGCAGGTTTTGGTGGCTGCCTAACAAATTTCAAATTATTTTTATGCAGGGGTTTATATTGAAGAAGTCCTAAACAAATGGAAAGGAGACTATGAAAAACTGGAACATAACCACACTTACATACAGTGGTTGGTCACTTACTACCTATTTCTCTTCTAAAGCATTGATTTGTTTTAAGAAGTGTCATATGCTGAGAGCTGTAATGCACTTCCTTTTTTAACAGGCTTTTCCCACTGCGGGAACAAGGTCTCAACTTCTACGCTAAAGAACTAACTACGTATGAAATTGAGGTAAATCACACTGAGTTTAACACAAGCAGACTAATATTGATGCATTACTGCTTCAGTTGAGTTGTGTACAGCGCAGCAGTACTTGGTTTGATGCCATTCAGCATTTGGGATGTATTCTTTGTTTCCTAGGAATTCAAGAAAACAAAAGAAGCAATTAGAAGATTTGTTTTGGCTTACAAAATGATGTTGGAGTTTTTTGGGATAAAGCTGATTGATAAAACTGGAAATGTAGCACGAGCTGCAAACTGGCAAGAAAGATTCCAACATCTGAATGAGTAAGTAAAGACACTCCTGAGTTGCCATAGACTTCCTTTAACCTTTTGTCTTCTAGGGAAAGGGGAGTTCTGTTTTCCAAAGTGTGTCAGGAGAGAAAAGAGGAGAGAAAAAAAAAAAAAAAAAAGAGAGAGAAAAGATTGATTTGTGTTTCTGCATGTTTTTTCCCTATGTATTTTTGTCCCTCGCACCCTTTACCAGTCTAAGCTATGTCAGTGAACTCCCTGAAAATACAACTTTCAGATGGTACCGAAGAGGATCACAGTTCCAAGTTAGTTTTGTCTGTCTTACTGCTGAACACATTTTCACCGGATCCCAAAGTGATGCTTCTTTATCTTACCTTTGTATTCACTTTTCTCTTATGAGAAAAGGCAAATTCTCCACACCTGTGTGAAAGCTAAATAATCAAGATTTCTCTCTCCTTAAACCTGAAATATTTTCTGTTTAATGCTAACTGCAGTGCTTGACTAAAGAGCTTTGGTCATGTTTTGGACTTTACCCCAGCTTTCACAAAATGACCATCTGTCACTTTCCTCAGCTTTGGGGAGAGTGCAAGTCTGCACTGAGTTTTGTCCCACACAGATTTTTTTTCTCTCACAATTTCTTCTCAAGTTTTGTGATCGCTTTTCTACTACCTCTAATCTTGGAGCTGAAGTTTGCTTTTATGCAGTGTATTGTCCTTGCGCGCAAATGCAAGCTTGTTTGCAAGGTAAGGTTGCTGATGGTTCTGTCTGAGCAAATAATTTGTTAGTAATTTTGCTCACGTGCTGAATGAGTCAAATCACAGATATGTGCTCTGACTCAGGCAACAGATAAGACAGGCTTTAAGGAACCCTGGATATCACTCACCGCACACCTTTAACTTGTAATTTCTATATTCTCACCAGTGAGTAGCTGCACAGATTTAAGTCAGGGACCGGGACACTTTTTAGATAATTTTAACCATGTAAAATTTAGGTATTTGAAAATCGAGGCATATATGGTTTATTGTTCACTTAGCTTTGCTTTATGAGGGCAAGAGCACCCAGAAACACTTCTGAAAGACAGTTAAAACATGTGACTGCCATAAATGGAATTGTGACAGAAGGACTTGCTCTCCAGAGCTGCCTGTTTTTCTCCCAACATTGACTTTATAAGGAATGTAGGTAGTAGTCTACAGTAGTTAGTCTATCTATTAGCGGGTCATCCAGCTTTAAAATGACTTAAGCGAAGTATAATGACTGTGCTTTCTTCTCAGGAAAAATATACATAGCAGAAGAAATCAGATTCAGTAAACACTTTGATCCTTCCTGTATTTGCCTCAAAGCATTTTACATAGACTAATTTTCACTCACAACGTCCTATCAAAGGAAGTGTTAGGAAACTTCATCAGCTGAAGTACAGAAAGCCTGAAATACACATTTTGAGTGATACAAATAAGTCAGGCATTGCAGTTCTAGTTCTGTATCTGTAAGTGTTTTTGGTTTTGTGTTTTTTTTAATTTTCTGATTCAGTGGAATTTTTCAATCTTTTCTCCCACAGATCTCAACACAACTACTTGAGGATCACTCGAATTCTGAAAAGCCTTGGTGAACTTGGATATGAGAGTTTCAAATCCCCCTTGGTAAAATTTATTCTTCATGAAGCTCTTGTGGAAGATACAATCCCGAATATTAAGCAAAGTGCTCTAGAATATTTTGTGTATACTATTAGAGACCGAAGAGAAAGGAGGAAGCTCCTGAGGTTTGCCCAGCAACATTATACACCTTCAGAGCATTTTATCTGGGGACCACCAAGGAAACAGAAGTCAGAAGGAAGCAAAACAAATAAAAAGCCAGCATCGCCAGCTTCTGTTCACAATAGTTGCATTTCTAAGCATAAAAAACTGAAAGATCCTAAGAATATATCTGCAAGTGGAAGCTCAGCTAGTAAAACAGTTGAAGAAAAAAACGCAGAACTCACAAAAAATGGGGAAGGAAATGAACGGGATGAACAAGAAGTAAACTGTGATGCTGTTATGCAGAACAGCAGCGAAAAGAGCAGTGATACTGATACAACTCAACATGCAAAATCAGAAGAAATTCATGATACATCAGACAGAAAGGAGGACACTTGTTATTCCAGAAAAGATGATGAGAATCTGAACAATGACTATAGAAGTCATCCAGGTACTGTAGATAAAGATTTATGTGACAGTGAGAATTGTTTGAACAACATGTCAGCAGATCCACAAGACAGCCTTGATAAGGATACACTTTCTGGGGAGACCAACACAAAAAAAAAAGATGAGATAAAGTCATGAGTCTGCAGTTAAAATCTGTTGTTTCATTTTGAATGAAGCAAATTATTCGCTACTCCTTCATTTTGGGTGAAACTTTTATCTGGCGTATTATAAAAGTTTAGGAGACCTTGTTGGATATGAATGCATTGCTTAAATTCGTATTTTTTTAACTTCCATTTATCAGATGTAAAACAGATGTGACTATTTAAAACAATTGTAAGTTCAAAGCCTAGAAATTCATTATATTTTCCAGATAGATTGCAGTTTGCAAAGAAAAATGTATTTCTTTTTTTTGCCAGTAAATTCATCCATTTTTTTTTGTAAGTGTGACTTACTAGGAAATCTTGATTTGATAATCTTTAAGGTTTTAAAATATGTTTCTAAATTATTGGTTTCCTTTTATGCAATGACAAGAAATGATTTTGCGAGCACTGTTTTTTTCCCTCGTGGATGTTAGTCAGGATCTTTGTTCGTATTCAAGGGCAGTATTTGCACAGCATCTTTTACCTTAGATTAGTGTCCTTGTCTGGGACACTTTGTAATGGGTATCAAAACATCCCACGGATCTGGGTATTGTTTTGCAATGAACAAAAATTAATTCAGGATGAAACTGTATCCACAACCTTTGGGTATGCAACCTTGGGTACGATCCCACAACAAGGGAAGCTGCACTTTAGACTTGGTCCTTTTCAAGTCCTTTCTCCTCCTTCGCTGCTTCCGTGGTGTGTTCAGGAGTCCCTTTGGCTGCTTTTGGGCTTGGTTTGAGTTTGGCAGCTCTCTGAAAGCGCGGTGATAGCGCAGCTCCCCAGCTGCGCCGCCTTCCCGTAAAGCCCCTTCCCTGGCCGCAGCGGCTGCGGTGTCCTCGCTGCTGCTCCTCGCTGGGCTGAGGAGGAGAGACCTGCTTCTTCTTTTCAGCTCTCTGCTCTCTTCCTCTGCTCCTTACCTGGGGGCCTTTTGCCATTTAGTTTTATTTTGATCGATGTTTAGTGCTATTTGAGGTTGAAACCTGGGAAAAGTCAATCCGTTAGCCTGGCTAGAACCCCATGGATAGGAATTTCCCAATTGATAGCTTTGTTCCCTTAAGGACCATCTGCTCTCCCTAACCAGCCTCTTTTGACTTTCTTCCATTCAGTCAAGCAGGATTATATCCAGCAAGTTAATTATATACAATATGAATTAAAAATCATGCAGATAAAATCCAGTTTTCATATAGTCCTAAAATAGTCTTAAACATCTGTTCATATTTTCTGTTTAAAAGTGTATATATTATCCCCTGCCTTTAATGTATTTTTAATGACGTGTGATGCTGGTGGCTGACTGCAGTTGGAGTGTCAGAGTGCTACAGGATTTTTTTCAAGTCCTATAACTCAAAATGACAGAGGCTGCAGGGCTTGCAAAGCATAGAGGAAAAGTCTCATGTTTTCCTGCCTCACTAATTCCCATGCGTCCAGCATGTGCATCCGTGGCTCCCCCAGGTAGCCCTGTCCCTCGAGGTCACACAGTACGGCAGTTCGAGATGTTTGTTCCCAAGGACTCGGGATTTTCCCATCTGAAGAGGCAGGGAAGGAGCAAGACACGTTTGTCCTTCCCTGCCCTGGTGCATGTAAGAGGAACGTCTGTATGTGGATTTTCTTAGGGGTAGCCCAGGTTGCTCAAGCAAGAGGTGAGACTGAAGCAAAATGCCCTAGTGTTGCCTCTTGTAGCCTCCCCCTGCCCTTCCTGAGAGCTGGGAAGGGCTGAGGAGCCTTTTGGATTGCCTTGGGCTTGGGCTAGGATATCCTCCTGCACGTTGGCCTCTGACCTTTAGTGCACAAGGGCCCAGGAAATGCTTAGATTTAAAAAAACGTAATCTGTATACATAAAGACACTAACCTCACTCATACACACAAGGATGAGTTCATGTTCTGCTTACAACTTCTTAATTCTTGAGTGCCTAATTTGCCGGCTTAATAGCATTTATTGTTTTCAAGTAGTTATTTCTAGAATGGCATAGGGGAAGTTTACACTCTGCATAACAAGAACTATACGGTAACTGGCCATACGGAGCCTTTGGTTTGTGGACATTCTATATTAAGGTTAAGCATTTAAATATATAGTGTTTGAAATGGGAGAAGCTGAGGGGTGTTGTTTTATTTACACTGTAATTTGATTGAATATAGGTGGCCTCAGGAGTTCTTTCTTGTCTACTGAACAAAAGTTAAACAGGAGAAACTTGTCTTTAGCTTCAACCAGAAAGTGATTGACACGTGCATCCAGTGGATTTCTCTGCACTGTGTTAGTCTGCCTTTGTGCCATAACTTTCACCTATGTGTGCTTGCTGGATGGCCATCCATAATTAGGTATTTAACAAAAAAATGACTTTTTTAGCATTTCTAAGCCCCCAGTATATCTGAAAATACAGTTGAGTTATTTGAAATTGTAGCCTTATTAATTCTTTGATGATTATTATTATTTTTTTTAATTTCCAGCTTGGAATAGTTTTCTTAAAGGTGAGAGCAGTGGTGACATGTTCCATATAAAGAACTACAGGGATAAGGGAAGTGAGGTTTTTTTTGTGTTAAATGGTCCGCATTCTGTAATACTTGGTTTTTAGCTCTATCAATTGAATTACTCCTACAGGGCACTTCATCTTTAACCATCATTTTCTGTTCTACATAAAATGTGATGGTTTGCCATTATTTTTATGGAGGAGACATACTATTTTTCTGATTTTTGCTTAGAAGAGTCATTCGTTGCAGGGCAGTCGTGGGGTGCAGCATCGCGCTGAGGTCCGAGGCCCACATGGGTGCACCCTGTGCAGTTCGTGGTGGGACAGGGCCTTGGAGCACCCTGTGCCTGTCGTTTGCACGTACTGGCTTTCAGGTGTACCATACAGCATGTGCTGAAGTGGCTGTATTCTCATAAATGCCAGCACTTAGTCACTTCATCGTGAATTCAGAAGTGGAGGATGTGCACAGCAGTTCAGGACACTTGCTCGCTACTAAAATTGTTTTTGTCTCGCTGTGCAGTTAAATATTGGGGGTCTTCTGTGTCCTTACTATAACAACGTGCTTTGACTCTGCCTTTTACTTGAATCTGGACTGATCCTGCCACAACGAACTGGAACTTCCCGTGCCAGGGCCCTTTCCTCCTAAGCACTCCTGGGTGCCTGTGATGGAAGGGAGCAGCAGCGTTCATGGGGGCACACCTGCAAGCTGGGTTTTGCTTTCGTTACTGCCCCAGAGGATATGCCAATGTGCGACAAAATTTTAACGAGTATTCGTACACGTGCAAGTGGAAGTGCTCTATAAGGCACGCAGACGTGCAGCACTTCATGGTTAAGGCGAGCTGCAGCTCCCTGCGCCGCTGACTGAGCCTCTGGAGTCTGTATTTTTAGTAATTAAAGGGGTGATCCTGAAGGATGCTAAAATGTTTGCAGTAGCCTTTGAGAGCTGCTCCGTGGCTTGGTCAGCTGCTCGGGATCGTGTCTACGATTACAGCAAGCTGATGTACTAGGCAATTTAATTTATATTTCATGTAAACTAGTGTAATCCTTCATAAATTATTCCAAGATAATTCTAATAATCTGCAGTTGCGTATACCTGTACTATAGCCAGGGAGACCTTGTAAGTCCTATAACCTTGCACACCTTTTAAGTTTGGATAATTTTGGTGGATGATCCAGTAAGGTAGGTCAAAGGACCTACCTTAGGAGGCTTAATAGATTTAAATGGAAAAAAAATCTTTTTAAATAAAATTCATTTATATCTGTTTAACTGAATTATTTTGTGCACCTTTATTTCCTGAAGGTTGTGATGGTAATGGCTTGTCTCATGGCTGAGAAACAAGGGGGAGAAAAAAGATCATATTAGAAATCAGGGTAGAAGAATGAGTGGTTGATCTGTAATAAAGAGACTATTGATAACTGCCTTCTGTGATCACATCTGTGAAACATACCTCATTCCTGTAGACAATTTCTAAAAATACTTAATTTGGAAGAAAGGTAAGTCCTCTTCAGTTATTGCCTAAAGGGATATCACAAAAAATATTCTTCTTCAGTGTTTTATAGAACTTGACAGTAATTTCCTTTTAGAAGTTACAGTATTGCTCATTCTCATTAATAGGGACATGATAATAAGTATGTTAATGAGAAACTGATCATAAATTATGGGAAGATATGTATATGTATGTGGAAAAAAACCTTTATTATGCCATATTTTTACAAATGATCTATCATTCTGAATTTCCTTGGCAAAAGCTGTATTTATACAAAGGATGTAAATATGTGAAGTAAGCTTCTCCATTAAATAAAACTGTGACAAAAATCCCATTAATGATGTACATTATCCTAAGAACTACTGCAGTGGGTCAGCATCCAGGCTGTGCTCTCTGGCCTTGGATCCAGTCTCCAACAGTGGCCACCAGTGGATTGTGTGAAACAAAGTGCAAACAGGGTGAGCCCACTTTTCTGCATTACCTTTTTTCATTTTAGGACTTAGTCATTTGTTCAGCCTCCACCATCCCTTGTGGCTATGAGCTTTACATTTTAATCATGTATTGTACGAAAAGAGAATCTCTTGTTTGCTTCAGATCTGCTTTATTCAAGAATTGTTAGTGCACCTGAACATACTGGAAGACTATCACAAGATGAACAGTAATACATTTGCTGTTAGTTTAAGAGCTTTGGGAAATTTTAATGATAAAATACCCATTTAGGTAGAAGTGTAGTCACTTGTCCTAAGCTTACTTGTTGCTGTGGACATTTTCTTTCTCATAGTAGGTGAATTAAAAAGACAAATTCCAACTGCAGAATAGATGCTTTTCTTTGTGATATACAAGCAAGACAAATCGAAGGCAAGACCTGTTGCCGGCCCAAACCCCGCTGAGGCAGCACTGCGCCTGGAGCCCTCGCTGGGGTAGCGGTGGCTGCGCGAAGCCGGAGGTGCTGCCCCGGCCGTGCTGCAGCCCCAGGGCCTCCTTCCCCGTCGCAGTTCCCCGCTCTCACGCGTAGCTCCAGCTGCCTCTGGGCAGGAGCGACTGCTTCTTGCTGGCAGCAGGAGCTGAAGGAGGGGCCTGAAGGCCTACGCGGAGCCTGCGGCCCCTGCCCACCGC